ATGCAAAACATTGCAGTTCAGGACAGAATACCTAGTCTGATTGGCTAAATAAGTCACATATTCAATTCTTCTCCAGATGGGGCCCTGAAAAAGATCCATCTGAAATTCTGGACAGCTGCCTTCCATCCCCATGGAGAATCCAAAGCTGGACAGCTGTTAGGTCAGCCAGTAAAGCAACAATGTTCTCTATTCCTATTGTTCAAAACCATGTTGTCATTTTTAAAGTGAAGATTGCCAGTTAAGTGTTACAACACAAGCTTGAGGACTAAAAAGACTAGTCTCGCTCCCTCCTTGCTTATCAAACAAGACAAAGAGCATTGACTGAAGCCCACACCAGTAATAAGACAGGTCTTGTCACTGCTAACCTAATTAATATCCATTTGCTTCCCCCCACAACTAACTGTCCATTAGAGGCACTCATTCATTTCCCCCACCCCCTAATTCATTTCCCCCTCCGCCTAATTCGCAAGCATCTACCCTCCTCTGTAATTACACAAACATCTGGCTGGAAAGCTTACAAAAAGCCTGCGGCATGTCTCTTAGATCCCCCTACTTTAGTTAGCCAGCCAAATGTAAAGGACAGGGCAGAGGGGAGAAAAATCTGATTTCTCCCAGCTCACAGATGACTTTTCTAAGATTAACGGACAATACAAGGTCAAAGAGACACCAAACAGGGCAAGAAAATTGAATGGTGCTTGGTTTGTATTCCTTTAATTGCAAAATGTCACCTCCCTCCTCCTATACATATACCATTGCAAAACAAGTTTTTTTTTTTTTTTTAAAAAAAATCACAGAGTATGTTAGGGAAGCACCAGCCAAAATAAAATCTTTTTTTTTTTAAAAAAAAAATCTATTTATTGGTAATAAGTCACCGGCTGCCAGAATCTGTAACCTAGAAAGTCACTTGGATATAAAATATTATTTTACTGCTAGAAAGCCCTCAGTATATATTTTGTTGCTGTGAATAACCAGGGGGATCCTTCCCTTCCTTCTCTTTCTGGATTTCAACTCTTTTTTGCAGATCCCCCCCCCACCCAAGCTGCAAATGCCAGTTTGGTCTAGTGGTTAAAGCACCTGGCTAGAAAGTGAGAAGTCCCATCCTAGCCAGGAAAGCTAACTGGGTAACTTTGGGCCTCTCATCAGGAGATGGTGAGTTCTAGTCCTGCTTTTTGCATGAAAGCCAGTTGAATGAGTTTGGTCCAATCACCAGGAGACAGTGAGTTCTAGTCCTGCCTTATGCATGAAAGCCAACTGGGTGATTTTGAGCCAATCATCAGGAGATTGTGAGTTCTAGTCCTGCCTTAGTCAGGAAAACCTTTGCAAAATTATGGAAAGGAGCTAATATCCCTTCAGAAGATTTAGTTATAGAAAAAAATATTGGAATGCGCCGAAATGGATAAGCTCACATTGGAAATGAAAGACGAGGAGGATTCCGAATATTATCTAACATGGGATAAGTGGTATGAGTGTTTAAAAAACAGATATAAAGATTAGAAAGAAGGATTATAGTAAATAAAGCAAGAGACCTTAAAGGAGTATCAATGTAGGTATGTATATAATAATGTATTTGTCGATGCCAAACCGTTGCTACAAATATAAGTGAGATTTGTATTTTTGAAAACTGTAATAAAAATTATTTTCAAAAAAATAAAATAAAAGTGGCTTTTATGGCTAGCTGAAAATTTTTATAATCCAGGCATGTGCATGAACTCTGCCTGATTAAAAAAAAACCTTTTGGCTTTTGCTGAAGGCCAAGCCATAATTCATCTAACAACTTAAAATGATGCTTCAAACAAAGGAAAATGATTCCATATGCAGCCAAGGGATTCCCTTCCCTACCCACCTAGCTAGGCTGCCAGACAGCTCTGGTTTGCAGACCCCTTGACTTGAAGAAGCTTCTTGGGAACAAAAAAGAGTTTGTCAAAACTCGAAAGCAAGAAGAAAAACTAGCTGTCTTTCACGCGAGAGTGGATAGGCTTCTGTTCTAAAGCTCACACCTTTCAAATTTCAGGGATAAGGGAACAGAAACTGGACATAAAGGCAGGGATAAATAAAATAGGTTTCTTTAATTGGCTGAGTGTGATTGGACACACACGGAATTTGTCTCCGGTATAGAAGTTCTCAGCAACAGAGAAAGAAGTTAGGGCTACCATGTTGAAGCTGTACAAAAGTCTAACAGTTAGAAAGCTGTTAAAAGTACAGATCTTATCTTTCCCCTGTACTGTTTGCTTCTACTAAATTGTTTGCATAACCGTATTATTTTTGATTAAGTGCCGCAGGGAGAGTTTCGTGTGGATTTTTTGCTGGGTTTTATTCTTCTCTTTCTCTTGAACACAGTCCGCAAGCAAGCCATCTGGTAGAGCCCTAGGATAAGCAAGAGGCTCCACTGTTCCCTTGAACAAAACCTGGTTAATCTTCATAAGTGCCCAAAGATACACAATCCACCCCAGGCAGCATGAGCTTGGCTCAAGATTTAAAAGAATGTTTTTTTCCCCCTAATCTCCAAAATAGGTATGTAAGTGGAGCTACGAAGCTTCCACAACCAGAGAGCTTGCACATTTGGAAGTATTAATTTTTTAAAATTATATTTTGGTTACTAACTTTGGCCTCCCTTTGACTTTGCTCCAAGGCCTTCAGAACAGCCCAGGCAGATCTTTCTTCCTTAGGCTTGGTTGCCTTGGTGAATCCAAGAAGCTGTCCCCCAAAAGTGAGGTCCTAACCCCAGCACTGTATGGCTAGGAGAGTTGGACCATAAAAAACCAGAATTACTACCAACCTGCCTTCCATTGAGCCACCTGTATGCTGCACGAATCAAAAAGAGGGCTGTGAAAATATTTACAGACCCCTCACATCCCGGACACAAACTATTTCAACTCCTTCCCTCAAAACGACGCTATAGAGCACTGCACACCAGAACAACTAGACACAAGGACAGTTTTACCCCAAACGCCATCACTCTGCTAAATAAATAATTCCCTCAACACTGTCCAACGATTTACAAAGTCTGCACTACTATTACTATTAATCTTCTCATCCCTCCTTATCACCCATCCCCTCCCACTTGTGACTGTACGACTGTAACTTTGTCGCTTGTATCCTTACGATCTATATTGACTGTTTCCTAGTATGATTTGATTGCTTGTTGTATCTTATGATTATCATTAAGTGTTGTACCTGATGATTCTTGACTCTTGATGAAGGTCTCTTTTCTTTTATGTACACTGAGAGCATTTGCACCAAGACAAATTCCTTGTGTGTCCAATCACACTTGGCCAATAAAGAATTCTACTCTACTCTACTCTACTCTACTCTACTCTACTCTACTCTACTCTACTCTGCTCTACTCCATTCCATTCCATTCCATTCTATTCTGTAAGGAAAGTTGAGTGCCAAAGAATTGATCCTATTGAATTGCGGTGAAGACTCAGTCAATCCTAAAGGAAATCAACCCTGATGGTTGAAAACCTCTCAGGATCCTTCCAGTTCTACGATTCTACATTTCCTCTTTTGCTGCTCTTTAGCTAGTTACTAAAACCAACCATTTTGTAGGTTTCCATCAGGCGATGAGCTATGGAGTTTGCACAACCCAGGAAAGCCACAGAAAACTAAAGTTAAGAGGAACCCATTCCAGCACAGGCAAATCATAACAATAACACAACTAAAAGGGACCTTGGAGGTCTTCTAGTCCAACCCCCTGCTCAAGCAGGAGACCTTATACCCCGTTTCAGACAAGTGCCTGTCCAGTCTCTTCTTAAAAACCTCCAGTGATAGAAGCACCCACAAGTCATTCCACTGATTAATTGTTCTCTGTCAGGAAATTTCTTAGTTCTAGGTTGCTTCTCTCCTTGATTAGTTCCATTGCTTCTTGTCCTGCTCATGGACTACATATAGACTCATAAGGCCGGGAGGGACCCCAGAGGTCTTGTAGTCCAACCCTCTCTTCAAGGCAGGAGCCTTATACATTATCCTCCCTGAACAAATGATTGTTCAGTCTATTTTTTGAAAACCTCCACCCACAACTCCAAGGAGGCGAAGTTTATACCATTGTTCTGTCAGAAAATCTCTCCTTCTTTCTAAGTTGGTTCTCTCTTTAAGATGAACATAACTAATAAACGTGACCAGAATAGGGCCTCCTGCCTTGGGAGGGGGGGGTGTTGGACTTGATGACCTACCCTTCCAACTCTATTAACCTATAATCTATGACAAGCCTTGAAATAAAAGCCCCTTCCCCTTTGATAAAGAAGGCGGGGGGGGGGGGGGAATCTTTAAAAAACTCTTACATGGTTAGGCGGATCCGCTCACCAGGGGCCTGAGCGTTCCCAGCCGTTGCTTAGCAGAGCCGAAACCAACAAGAACTTCTCCGCAAGGCGCTTTTGCTTTCCTCCCTCCTTCAAGGTAACCAGAGCAACAGGAGGTTCAAATCCAGTCTGGGCAAACACACACACACACACACACACACTACTAGGCAAAAAGAAAAAAAAAGCACGTTCCTGACCCTCATGAAGGCAGCGCGATTCTTTCTTCAGCGTTAGGGCATCTCTCATATCTCGCGCAATCGTTGCTACCCAGACCTGAAACGGCGCGGGGCGCGTAAGGAAGGATGGGAGAGCAAAGGGGTTGGTTAAAGAGGGCGCTTCGTTTCGGGGGGGGGGGGGGATCGCCCAAATAAAACGGGGGGGGTGGGGAAAGAGTGTCCCAACTAAACAGTGACTAAACAGAGCCACGTTTCCCCTCCCTTCTCCCCCCTCCAAAAAATCTGGTTCCGAGCCGCATTAAAAACAACCTTTCCACAGAAAGAGCGCACAAACCAGGAAGAAAAGAGGATGCAAGGGTGGTCTCCAGTCCCTTGTTTTAAAAACATGCCCCCCCACCCCCACTCCACAATTGCAATGCCCACCCCGCCCGGATCTTTCTGCAAACCCGCCAACCTCCCCAAGCAACCAGAGAAGAAGGGCAGAGACTATACAGGGAGCCCCCAGCCCTCAAGCCCCAATATTTACTTGGCCAGCGATGGTTGGCTTCTCTTGGCTCCTTGGAGCCAACTTTCTCCTCGAGTTTGCAGCCTGCGAAGTTTTGCAACAGGGCGGATCGTTTCCTGGAGTTGTGAATTGGCGGCGGCCAGTGTAGAAACGCATCTGGAGGAGGAAGGGGGGGGGAAAGGAGGAGCCAGATGGGCAGAGCTGCAGATGACCAGGCTCTTCCCCCAATGGCAGCTTGAGGGAGGCGGGCAGAGCCCGGGGTCATTAACATAAGAAGATTCTTGAATGGAAGGTAGAAGCCAGCCTTTCCTTAAGTTTTGGGTCCAAAGGGGAGGGAGGGAGGTGGGAGTTATAGTTGCCTGCAGGGAAAAGGGAGAGAAGAAGGAAGAAAAGAGAGAGAAAGGAAGAAAGGAGAGAAAGGGAAAGAAAGTTAGGGTAAAAGGAGAAAGAGAAAGAAAGGAAGGAAGGGGAAGGAAGGAAGGAAAGAAGGAAGAAAAGAGAGAGAAAGAAAGGAAAAGGAAAGGAAAAGAAAGACAGAAAGAAAAAGGAAGTTAAGAAGGAAGTTAGGAAGAAAGGAGAAAGAGAAAGAAAGGAAAGATAAAGATGGAGAGAAAGAAAGAAAAGAAAGAATGCACCCACAACTTCTGCAGGCAAGTCGTTCCACGGGTTAATTGCTCTAACTGTTAAGAATTTTCTCGTTAGTTCTAAGTTGCTTCCCTCCTTGGTTAGTTTCCATCTGTTGTTTCTTGCCTTTGGGGGCTTTGAAAAATAGTTTGACCCCCTTGTCTTTGTGGGAGCCCCTCAAATATTGGAAGGCTGCTATCGTGTCCCCCGCTAGTCCTTCTATTCATTAGACTAGACATTCCCAGTTCCTGCAACCGTTCTTCATATGTTTAAGCCTCCAGTCCCCTAATCTCTTTTATATTTATTTGTTTCGGCAAGCATGTTTTGGATAACAGACATAATTAGGAACATGAAATGGGTACATATAAAAAGGGAGACATTAGGACAGGTAGGCACGTTGGTGCGCTTATGCACGCCCCTTACAGTCCTCTTAGGAATGGGGTGAGGTCAACAGTAGACAGTCTAAGGTTGAAGTTGTTGGGGTTTGGGGAAGAAAAGCTGGTGTAACCAAAATAACAGCCACGGTTCTTTTCTCTAACAGGTTTATTGAAAAATTAAACCACAGTCTCTCTCTTTTATGTACATATATAGTGAAATCTGGAAGGGTTCCCCCATTATTGGCTAGGGACCGACGACAAGGCAGAATCCAGGCAAGATGACTGCAGAGGCGTCAATCACAACCACAGATGGTTCTACTTCCCTCTGACGGTGCCCAGATCTTTTCCTGCCCAAATTTCTAGGACCTGCCGTGATCGTTAGATGTTCCCATAAGATACAAGAAGGGGAAGAAAATAGAAAGAGCTACGGGAGAAAAGCAGGGGACGTTTTCAGACAGCTGTCTTGCCAGGTTATTCGAACATGGAGGCAAAGGAGCAGGGAGAGGTGAGCTAACTGATGGTTTACGAACCAGATTATAGATTAATAGAGTGGGAAGGGACCTTGTAGGTCATCTAGTCCAGCCCCCCCCACCCAAGCAGGAGACCCTACACCATTTCTGACAGATGGCAGTCCAATCTCTTCTTGAAAGCTTCCAGCGATGAAGCTCCCACAACTTCCGAAGGCAACTTCGGTTCCGTTGGTTGATTATTTCCAGGTTGAATCAATCAATCAGAATAGAGCTGGAAGGGACCTTGGAGGTCTTCTAGTCCAACCCCCCTCCCCACCCAAGCAGACCCTACCCCATTTCTGACAGATGGGAGTCCAGTTTCTTTTTGAAAGCCTCCAGGGATGAAGCTCCCACAACTTCTGAAGGCAACTTCTGTTCCATGGGTTGATTGTTCTCACTGTCAGAAAATTCCTCCTTATTTCCAGGTTGAATCTCTCCTTGATCAGTTTCCATCTATTATTCCTTGTCTGGCCTTTGGGTGCTTTAGAAAATAGGTTGACCGCCCCCCTCCTCTCCATCAAGGATGATCGCTGGGAAGAAGGACAATGGGCTTCTCAAGGTCTATTTGGGAGCCTTTAGAAGTGGGGGCACTTAGCAGAGAGACAATATGTTGAGGAGAGGTCAACCCAACCCCACGTTTCCTCAGTGGGAAATCCTGTGTAGGCTTTACCTGGGTGAACAGGTGTGCACGCGACGAGATGCCTCAGACATCCCACAAGCCTGTTCTTCCCTCCCATCTCTTGGTCTTTTGGCTTCGGGGGTCTCGCAGACCCCTAAAGTGCAACATTGAATTCTGTGACGAGGAAATCGATGTAGTCCTTCTCCTTCGTCTTGAAAGCCTCGGCGATGATGCGAGCGGCTTCCCTGTGCTCCTTGTCGCAGAGGGCCATGCCGTTGATTTCCAAGATCACTTGGCCCACCTTCAGCTGGCCGCAGTTGTGAGCGGAGCCGCCCTTCTGTGGCAGGGAAAGAAAGACAAGAAAGAAAAGAAAGGAAGTTAGGGAGAAAGGAGAAAGGAAGAGAAAAAAGAGAAAGGAAGGAAGGAAGAGAAAGAGGGAGAGAAAGAAAAAGGAAAGAAGGGAAAGGAATGAAGGGAGAGAAGTAGGAAGAAATGAGAAAGAAAGAAAGAAAAGAAAGGAAGGGAAAGGAAAAGAAACACAGAAAGAAAAAGGAAGTTAAGAAGGAAGTTAGGAAGAAAGGAGAAAGAGAAAGAAAGGAAAGATAAAGATAGAGAGAAAGAAAGAAAAGAAAGGATGGAAGGAAGGAAAGAGGGAGAGAGAAAGGAAAAGAAAGAGTGAAAGAAAGGCAAGACCAAGTGATAGAAAGAAGGCAGGTAGGAAGACAAGGAGGCAGGTAGGAAGAAAGAAAGGAAAGATGGAGAGAAAGAAAAAGGAGAGAAGAAAGGAAGAAAGGGAGAAAGAAAAGGAAGGAAGGAGAGAGGGAAGGAAAGAAGAAAGGAAAGAAGGAAAGGGAGAGAGAGAAAAAGAAAGAGAAAAAGAAAGGCAAGACCGAGTGATAGAAAGAAGGCAGGTAGGAAGACAAGAAGGCAGGAAGAAAGAAAGAAAAAAACCAAACAATTAAATGGTTTTGTTGGAGTTGAGGGAAGAGGTCCTTTCTTTGGCTCTTCAAGGTCAGTCTAAGAGCAAAGCCATGGAGGAAACGTCTCCAGCATTTTCCTAACCCAAAGAGAACGTCCCTTGGATGCCCTTTCCGCGTTCTAGAGAACCCCACTTCCTTGAGGAACCCCTGAATTCATACCTGGATCGTGACGATCCTGGGCAGGGGCTGTCGCGTGTTCGCACCCCCTTCGATGGCTATGCCCAAGGTCGGGGCGCTCTTCGACACCCGGACTAGATGAGAAGTCGGCTCCCGGAGGCCTGGCTGTAGAAAGGTGGAGAGGAGAAGAACCTCAGTGGAGGAACCAGTGGAGTTGGCAACAAGAATGATGGACGCAAAAGACACATCTCCAAAACTTTGACTAAAATCCTGAATCTCGGCGGCTCCTCTTTCCTGGAGAAGTCCTTTCTTGAGTGCAAATTAAACCAGCGCTGCAAAATATTATGCGGTCTACAGAGGATACCATGTGCGTGTGTGTGTCTGTCTGTCTGTCTGTCTGTGTCTCTGTGTGTGTTGTTGTTGCAATTTTTCCTTCTCCTTTTGGGGGCCACCCTAATTTTAAAAGGCAATGCTGCCCTCTCGTGGAGGAACATGGCCTTTTAATTTCTGCCAAAAATCGATGCTGTTTTTAATAAGCGTGCCGAATCCTGTACAGTTACTCTATTAAAATGTATAATTCACTGGAGAGTGGCATTTGTTTTCTATAAATCACGAGGATTCGTTTCATCTTGAGTTTTCATCCCATTCTCCTTGCCTAAGAGGGAGTTTGGGAGTGGTGGTTAAAGCACCAGACTAGAAACGGAGAGGTCCTGAGTTCTAATTTTGCCTTGGGCAGAAAACCTAAGGCAAAAGCTAAAACTAAATACTACTCTACTCTACTCTACTCTACTCTACTCTACTCTACTCTACTCTACTCTACTCTACTCTACTCTACTCTATTGCATTCCATTGCATTCCATTGCGTGGCATTGCATTTCATATTCTGTCCTGTCCTATCCTATTCCTAAATCTATTCCATTCCATTCTATTCTTTCCTCTATTCTATTCTATTCTATTCTATTCTATTCTATTCCATTCCATTC